ACTGTAAAGGTGGAGCTATGAAAGGTAACAGCGCTAACAGGTTCTCCTGGTGTTATGTGCTAATGATGTGCCAAAGGCCTTTCTGGAGGCCAGGAGGGGTGAGGAAATGGTTCCTAATCCTTTCAAAAGCATGGGAACCCTGCTGGCAAGCACTTGGGGGAAAGAAGTGACTGCCTTCCTTCTAAGATCTGAGCCAAGAAATATGTGGTGTGGTTTATCAGGTTTTTACTGACAGAGGTCAATGTCTTCCAAGTATTAAAAGTTAACATCAATACTAATCCCATTTTACACACAAAATTCTTTCTAATTTCTTCCACTTCCACCCACCCCTCTAAAATTCAACCTTGGGATGCGTAGAAATCTCTTAGGGACTTGTGGAAATGAGAGAAATGAATGTAACTGGGTGTCCTGGTAGAAAAGAAAGCAAGAGAAGAAACTGCTGAGGCTCACATGAACATTGAACCCTCTACAGAGGGAAGCAGCTTCTCCAAACAATGATAACCGAGACGTCAGGGCTGAAAACACTGGAAGGAAAGATCATAAAGGCAGGAAAATTATATCCACAGATGATGAGACAGAAGTCTTGAGTGTCTTTTCAGCAGTGTGGAAGAAGAGAGGGGGAGGCAGAAAGAGCAGGAAAGTGATCAAGAGCCCCTAAGTGAGGCTTTCCACTCTACTTGGACGGGCAACATTTAAAGCTCAGGAGTACACCATGCTCATTATCTCACGGAGGAGTAAGATTGGCAAGGACAAAGGGGGGATCAGACAGTGGTGCAGCAGGAAAATGCAATGTTCTGCACACTGACCCACATGGTCAGGTTCTGGGTTTGTGTCCAGAGACCTCCCCAAGTACACAGGTACACACGTGCCCACACGTGCCCATGTTCCATGTCTGGCCGAGGCAGCACTGAGACCCCGGTCAGGTGCTCTCCCAGAAAAAATAAAAATAAACACAGAAAAAAATACTTTCTAGAAACATTAAGCTAAAAGTCTGATTGTGACCCTTATTATATAAAAAGGTCATTTAAGCTGTTTGAAATGAATGAAAACGACTGCACAGTTGTCATGGTGCCACAGACTTGCCAAAAACAAATCTTCCTTAGGAAATCTCCTCCTAACATCTCCATGTTTTTCTTTGCTTCCGTTACTACCCAAAGTGTACTGACTTGTCTAATCTTAACTTAGATGAATTTACTGGGTCATCGAAAAGTCATGAAGCATTTTTGCATAGAAAAATAAGTCATGACTTTCCCGACAAGCCAACAGATTACTTATAGGATTTTCTCTAGGACACAATGTTGTTTAATATTTTCATTAACTCCAATGAAGAACGAGGAAGTATGCTAGTCAAACGTGTAGATGTCATAGAAGCAGGGAGTAATGGATTCCAAATCATGACTCAGTTAAAAAAAAAAAAAAAAAAGGACAAAGCCATTAGAATACAATGGTAATACCATCAATATACTCAGTTTTGCTCAAAATCAAAATAACTGGGGCTGGACCCATAGCATACTGGTGAAGTGGAATGAAGTGTGTTTGGAACAGGACTCCATGTGGCCAACTGTAGTTCAAATCCTGGCCCCAGCACCCTTGAAAACATGCTGGGCACATCTGCAGGTGTGCCCCAACTCGCCAAATCCTGACAGGAAAGAGAAGCAGAGAAGAAAGGATGGCATGGCAGAGTGACCGCACCCAGTTGTGGGGGATGTGCTCTCTCACACACTCTCTCCTGCTCTGTCTCTGGCAAGTGTACGTGCTCAGGCAGTGAGGTCAAAAAACAAAAACCCCACAGAGGTATAAGTACAGAATAGGAGAAGAGGCTGGCCTATGAAAAGATTAACAATTTAGCTAGATACAAAGTTCTCTAGAGGACTAAAGGTGTAATGAAGATCTCAATAGAAAAGTCAGTACATAGCAGTTGAGCTTTTCCCTATTCTACGGGACCCGAATTTGGGTAATACGCTCAGCATAGGCTGACTAAGCACAGTGAGCCCAGAGGAAAGAGCCTCTGGGAGCACACACACAGAAGCAGCAGCAAGGGAAGAGAAGGGAAGGGGCAGGCAGCAGGACTTCCACTCCCAGCTGGGCTGCAGTCTCCCCTCTCCTCCTAAGACCACTGAGAAACAAGGAAAAAACAAAGCAACCCCTTTGTCACAAAGTTGAGAAACAGACTCCAACCATCTGCAATGACTTCCAAAAGACACCCAGTCAGACAGGGGCCGAGGAGTAGATAGAACCAGAGAAGCAAAGGAGAGGAAGCTGACGTCATTGGGTTTCATGGGGTCTAAGACAGGGCTGGGGGCTGGGCAGGTATCCACCTTTATGATACCTCTTCAAGACAGGGCAGAAGGCCTGGTTTGTGCAGTTTCAAAGAATGAGAAAACCTGTACTGTATTTCTCCAACAGCCTTGACTTTGGCCCTTTTTTTTAAACTAGGAGGCTGACAGAAAGTTGTTAGCTCCTTTCGGTTTTAATCGTCACTTATTTTTTGAGTGAGGTGGACCATCTTTACGTCATTCATAAAACTGGCAATCTCTATTCCCCAAATGGTTCTGACTGAATCCTTCATGCCAATACAGGGCTACAAACCACCTATGGTTCAACTCTTCCCAAACTGCCTTTCTGGGACCTAGGGTGCAGACAACATTTCATCATTACCTGGGCTAATAAAAAGGAATTAGATCACCAGGAACCTAACCAGTGGATTCCATTCATGTGAGCATGTCCTTTTTGGAACTTGGCTCCGTCTTTCCTGATTGAGAAATGGGGCAGGGCAAAGAGGCGACCCTGAGCTTCAATCTGTACCGAGAGCTGAATGAAAGGACTAGCTGGAACATGTATGTGCAGAACTCTCACTTCAGCAGACATGCCTAATTCACTAGCACCTATTCAGCCAAAAAGCAAAGTGACTCTACAACGTCACGCCGACCTCTTAGGCCACCACTCACCTTCACCTTGCAATCCTCACTGCCCACCACATGCAGAGCCTGGAGAAGAATGCTCTCCTTACTACCGAAGCTTGAAAGCCATTCCATGGCTTGGGTTACAAATGAGCTCTCCTTGATTGGCCTTGGCACCAAAATAACCCGTGCCACTTGCTGCAGGAAAGCATCATCTGGGGTCAGAAAGGACAGCAGGGAAAACTACATAAAGAAATACCTAGAGAGACTGGTAGGTGGCATGGTAATTAAGGGTGCTGGACTCCCACACGGCCAAGCACAGTTCAAGTCCCGGACACTCTCCCCACCCTCCCCCTCACTCTGTCCCTCTCTAGTCAAATTAAATAAAGTTAAATAAAATAATTCTTGAAAGAAAGAAAGGAAAAGAAAACAACTAGAAACAGTCAGAGCCTCCAAACTCAAGCACTCCCATAGAGTAAACGCAATAACCAATATGCAGCTCAATCTCTAACTAATTCAGGATTTCTGTTATGTTCAATGAACGTCAGAAAAAAGTCTGAACAAAAATATTATGAAAGAATTGCAAATAAACTACCAAACAAGGCACAGAAAGTCAAGTTGTCCTTATGACAGGACAAGGTAGGTCCTATGTTTTCTTCTAAAAGCTCTGAGTATTTTCAGGTTCCTTAGTTAGCCAGCCAGCCAGAGAGAGACAGAGAGACAGAAAGCGAGAAATCACCCCCCAGGGGGGATGGCCACGCCGCAATCCCTTCTCCTCTATTCTCCTCTCGTGATCTTGGGCATGAACGCACACGCACCGGCGTGAGTTTTAAGCCATCGGGTCCAGGATGTGAACCGCGGTCGACTACGTGGGAGTCCAACGACATAGCCATTACGCCAACAGCTGGTTCTAAGACAGTGACTTCCTAAACAAGGAGCAAACTTGTTAAAGGTCTGCAGAATCTAGACTGTAAATACAGAGTAGAAAAACGACTCCCAGACTCAACACCAAGACATACTGTTGGGGACCAGAAGGTGGTGTCATTTTACATTTCTGGACTCCCACGTTGTTGACTGTAGTTTGAATCCCAGGCCTGGTGGCTTAAAAACTCACACTGGGCACGTGTGTGAGTGTGTGTGCTCAAAATCCCAAGAGGAGAATGGAAAAGGAACTGCGGTGTGGCCATCCACCCCCCCCCGGGGGGCTGATTTCCCACTTTCTGTCTCTGTCTCTCCAGCTAGCATACACACTCTACAGCAAAAATCTCTCCCCCAAAAATAAAAAGGCTGAACTGTTATTTAAATTCCACTGGATGGTATCAATACAAGGCCTTACTATTGTTCTGTTAGGTTCTTTTTCAGGAAGAAGAAAATAAAAATGAAATGACAAGGTTTAGGAGTGAAATGGAAACAGAAATTACCATGAATGAGAAATACGGACTATAAAGAGAAGAATAAAAGGTAGTAAAGAGAGAAAAAGAGACTTCTCGACCCCAGCCCGTAAAATGCAGGGAAACAATACATTTCTGTGAATCAAAAATGTACAAGCTGTAGGGACCCACACTACCAATGTATTAATGAGTCAAATTTGTAAGTAATGTCAAATATATTTTCTTCCCATAGGACACAATTAATCCCATATTAAAATTCTGTCCTTTGCTTCCTTATTCTTAAACATATGTCCTTGAAGATAGGACATGCAGGGAAAAAAATGTTTCCATGTGGAAAAAGTCTGAAGTTTCAGAAAAATATGCACCTACCAACTGGGACGCACAGGCCCAGAGCAGAAAAGAAATCAGGTCAAGCCTGTGCAGGCAACATAACCACAACGGGGGCCTCGCCTTGCTGGCGGGAGGCTCTCCCCGGACACCGCCGCTGCGCTCCGAACACAACATGCTGGTGAGCAACACGGGGCAGGTCCTTCAAGTGTTGACAAGGAAGACCTGCAAGGCCTCCAGGAATGCGAAGGCCTGCCAGTCTGAAGGGCTGCGCCAGGAAGAAGGCACTGCCTCGGGACCCTCGGGTATTCCTGGGGGTGTCTGGCCACCAGTGTGAGTAAAGGAAGCACTAGGGTCAACGTGGACATTTTCTTGTGTCTACCTCTTCTAGCCGCCGCCTCTGCTCTTTCTGCTGCTCGATCCGCTTCTGCCTCTCCGCCAGCAGCTGCCTTTTATACTCTTCCTGCTCCCGGAGCTGCTGTTCCTGCAGGAGCTGTTGTCTGCGAAGAGCCTCCGAACGCTCCTTGTTCTCCTGCTGCAGCCTCAGGAAATCCCGACGCAGCGTGGACTCCCCAGGCACGTTGACAATGGAGCTGTGGGGGAGCAGGGCCGTCAGGGGTGCGCCCGTGTCACTCTGCCCGCTGAGAGCGGTGGCAGCACCCGGCTCCTTTCTACACTCCCTCTCTTAAGGAGTCCACAATACCCACAGGGATGGTTACAGGACCAACTCAAGAGTCCCACATCGTAAGACTTCGCCCCACTGAGCGCCTGGTAAGACATTTCTATGTGGGATTTTCACATCGACGCGAACTCCACAAAAGGAAAGGCTGAAGCCGCCTTCTACCTCCCTAGGCCCTGTGACTACCTTACCTCCATCACGCATCAGCAAGGCATCAGAGCACTCTGCGGTACTTCCTACTGCTTCATCCTGGCCTCGTCCGCCACCAGGGCTTGTCACGTGCTCCCCCTCTCTTTTTCTATTTCCAAGGGCAGCAGTTGAACCCCAAGGAGCCCTCCGGAATTAGCCATTACACAGACAAACAGCATCATTTCTAGCTCGCCTCCCTCGTGGAGAACTACTTTTCTACTCCCCTACCAGCCGGAATAGAATGGCAAAGAAATCTCTTTATCCTGCCTCTTTCAGAATTCCACATTCCTATCCTAAACCAATTGTTCTACTCATGAAATCTGTGAAAATTCCAAAAATTTTAAATGGATTTCCTCTAAAATGGATTCGAATTTTCCCCTACATAAAAATATATATAGGGACCAGCAGTTAGCATAATGGCTATGTCGCTGAACTCCCATGTAGCTGACCATGGTTTGAGTCCCAGACATGGTGGCTTAAACTCACACCGGGCGCAGGTGTGTTCATGCCCCAAGATCCCAAAAGGAGAATGGAGGAGAAAGGATTGCGGCATGGCCATCCTCCCGGGAGGTGATTTCTTGCTTCCTAGCTCTCTGTATCTCTCTGTCATTCTGAAGCGCATGTGCCCTATAGCAAAAAACCTCTCCCAAAAAAAAGAAGAAAAAAAATATATAAACATATATACACACACACATTGGGGCCAGCAGGTGGCGTGGTGCTTAAGGCACTGGACTCCCACATGGCCAACTTGGCAGTTTGTACTCTGGACTCAAAGGCTTAAAACTTAAGCGAAGTGGTCCATATGTGTGTGTCCAAAATCCTGAGAGGAGAATGCAGGAGAAGGGACTGCAGTGAGGCCATCTCCCTGAGGGATTTTCCTACTTTCCCTATCTGTCTCTCTCTGGTGAACACATAACCCTATGACAAAAACCTTTAAAAATAAACACGTAGAATTTCTTCAAAAAAATTCCGTAACTCTCCCTTCAAATTCCCCTTCAAACTCGCACTCCTCCGCTTTAAGTCCCCACGGGTCTCGACATACCCTGATAACCTGTCTTTGTTCCGTTAATCAATCATAGGTAGCTTCCCCAAAAGCCTATCACTACAATCCATACGTCCTTTATTTCCTTTTTTTTTTTTTTGGAGAGATTTTCACTGTAGGGCGCGTGCGCTCGCCAGACAGACAGAGAGAGACATAGAGACAGAAAGCGAGAAATCACCCCCCAGGGGGGATGGTCACGCCGCAATCCCTTCTCCTCCATTCTCCTCTCGGGATCTTGGGCACGCACGCACACGCGCCCGGCGTGAGTTTTAAGCCACCGGGTCCGGGACACGAACCGCGGTCGACTACGTGGGAGTCCAGCGACAAAGCCACTACGCTAACTGCTGGTTCCCTACGTCCTTTATTTCCTGATTAATCTGTCAGTATGAGGTTCGTGCTACCAGTTTTAACTCCTCAACCTTCTCCTCTGCACCTTGGGAAGCTATGGACAGATCAAAACATAGACCATGACACGGATCACTATAGATCACACCTACCACGGAAATCAATGGTGGAAGTGCAGAATCAAGAAAAAGTCATTTGGGAAAGACTGCAGCTTTGCAACGGAAGCCCTGCTGGCCCTGAGCAGGACAGTTCTCTGTGCAGGACTGTTCTACACAGTGCAGGACCTTCCCCATCGGTGCCTCCCATAGCAAGAAACATGGGGCGGCCCTCGTGTCCAGCCCACACCTCCCAGAGCCTGGGGAGCGGATGTGATGCAACCCCTGGGGGGAGCCACTGGCCAAGAGACTGGTGCCAGGCGGGTATTCACAGGAGTCTGGCAAAGAATAAAGGACAGGGGATGATACGGCACTAACTACAGGCTCCTTCCGACTCTGCAGGATCTCCTGACCTCTGGCATCGACATGAAGCTCGGTAGCTCTGGCGTGTTACCTTGGCTCTCCTTCCTGTTCAGGCACTTCCTCCTCCTCCTCCTCACTCCCACTGTACTCATACTCCGTTTCATCTGCAAAAGAAAAGGGACAAGATAAATGGACCGTTCACAAGCCCTGACACATGTCTATAGAGGCAAGCATTTCTGAGAGCAAAACAGCCCCAAATAGACAACGCATTCTTTGTAAAAGCAGCCATTTGTATGGAGAACCTGAGAAGACGTGGGAGCAGGGCAAAATACCAATTCGCCGCACTGAATAGCGGCAGTACCCTGGGCCAGCCTCACGGTCCACGGAAAGGCCGGCTGTGGCATTCGAGACCACCTCCTGTGGGTGAGGACCACCGGCTGTGGCATTCGAGACCACCTCCTGTGGGGTGCACTGCTCAGAGGGTGAGGACCGAGGCTGGGGCTCCAGGACCCTTGACAAACAAGGAACGTGGCCGAGGCTGCCAGCAGACTCACAAAGGCCTAATTTAACTGCTGAAACCAACTCAGCCAGCGAGAGCATTTATTTGGTTATTTTGAGCAGCAGGGATCCACTGAGAGTGCAACAGAGAAGAAGTCGGCTGGGTGGACAAAAAGTGAAGCAGTAAGTACATGCTTAGAGCAAAAACCCAAACCAAATATTCCCACAAATCACAGAAGGTGAAACTGGGGAAACTAACAAAACGATATAGAAAAGAATGAGACAAAAATGGCTCCACCTAGACTGGACATCCAGCAAAGCAGTCACCATGAATAACCCGCCTTCATGTCCATGAGTTACACAGCATTTTCCCAGAAGTCACAGGCCATTTTACTGGTCCCTGCATCAAGGTCAACATCCAACTTTCCGTGAGCGATTACACTCCAGAGAACAATCCAAGCGAGAGAGGTTGAAGAGATTGAAAAAGCAAAGTCTACTCACAAACAAAAGAAGACAGTTCTATTTTTTGCCAGATATATATAAGGAAAAAAACCAGTGTCCTGGGAAGAAAAACGAGTTTATGAACTTAAAATATGGTTCGAGAAGACCTTGGCAGTCTGTATGTATATGACGCTACTTCCCCACGCCTGACGATCAAAGTGGCATCATTTCTATTAGTCGACACAGAGCTGTACGCTAGCTCTGAAGGAAAATCCCACGCTAAATAATCTTGGCAGTACTCTGAACAGGCTCGCTATTACTTTCCAGTTTTGTACGATTCGCCACTAATTACTGACGAGGGGCTGAGTACACACGGAAGGTGAATGCAAAGTGAAGACCAAAGAGGTCACTGCGACTTGAAGACAAGAAACGCAGGGAAGGGCACCTCTGTTTTCACCTGCAAAACACAGACTGCGAGGATTCCACGAGGAGACCCAGCTTAGTGCTGGCTCTGGCAAATGCTCCAGCAGCGTTCACTGTTAGTGCTAAGCAACAAGCAAATGACCCGATATGCGCATATCGCTTTCTACAAAATGGTCATGCCACCTGAAAATTAAAAAAGGGAAGTCTTGTTTTTAACCTTTGGTTCGCTTCTGAACAACTGCTTAGGTTAACACAAAAAGCTTAATTCCTGTTATAAGGGAATATATCAGAGGAGGAAAAAGGTTATTGTGGACATTAATGATGACAACGATGAATACTAAGGTTCTATGAAACTCATGCAAAGAGCTTGGCCCAGGCCTCCAGAAGCACAACTCTGACCAGCTCGCTGACAGCCTTTAACTTGCTCTTTTTCATTTCTTCTTCGGCCTTCAAATTACAGGGTCGAAATATTTAACAGGATGTTAGTTATCCAAATGTTCTGTAAAGTCACTGTAAGACTCCACAAAACAGAAAGGACCAGTGTCTGCTAGCAGCCTTGATGATGTCGGGGTGAAGCCTGGACTGCACGCACCATGCTGGACAGGAGGACACCCAGTGGGCACAGCGCATGTACAGAGAGAACGCAAAGGAACCTTTGGTGACGAGGACGACGGCACCCCTCGCACCCAGGGCATGAGGCAATCAAAGGGAAGCAGGAAGGGTCGCGAGGGTCCGTGCCTCACACCAGCTGCTGTAAGGGCAGCAGGGGTGACCCTGTGGGGTGTCTGAGCCAGAGAACACACAAGAGCAGGCTGATGGCGGTGGTCACCGCTGACGGGTGCTCACAGTCCCCACGTGGGGGAGAGCACGGACGCAGCCGTAGCAGGGAAAATCAGGAGTAACCAAGGTGTGCTTCCCGGGAGGGGACGAGCAAGCCACCCCCGCACCCTGACCCACCACGACGCCCAACGTGCCGGTGTCACTGGACACCATGCAGCCCTCGCCGATGCCAGCAGAGCCAGGCTGGACATCGGCCTCATCACGGACTCGTGTGGCAGAGCCCAACGACCCGAGCACTGGCCAGGTGAGTGACATTTCACAGTTGGGAAAGGAGTGACCTACTCTCGCTGGCAAGTACCTAAAAACGAAAAGTAAAAGTAAATAAAAACAGGTTTAATACCTTTCTCTCCTCTCTTCTTTCTGGTCCGGTCTATATGATCCTTAAGCTGGATTCTAACTTGCCTTTCGTTTGGCTGATCCCTTATGAAAGGATGTTTCAAAAGCTGTTCTGTGGAGGGCCGCTGCATGTAATTCTTCACCAGACACCCTTCTATAAAACTAAAAAATTTCTTTGACCTGTAAAAAAAGTAACGAAGATCACTCAACTTGTACCACGAAGAGCACGGCTCTAAAATACCAGTAACGTATGAAACAGGAAGAGTCTCAGAACGCGCTGTGAACATCTGCACACGCGTGGACAGTACATGGAGCACACACGCGCGCACGGTCACTGGGGTCGGGGCACCCACACACACAGTTTAATACCAGTAACGTATGAAACAGGAAGAGTCTCAGAACGCGCTGTGAACATCTGCACACGCGTGGACAGTACATGGAGCACACACGGTCACTGGGGTCGGGGCACCCACAGACACAGTTTAGGCATCGCTTCTTGAACGGGCTGCACACGGCAACAGACAGCTGCTGTGGAAGGCTGATCTCAGTGAACTGGGTTTGAAGTCCGGGCACTCATGACCCACTTCACCGGGGGCTGGGGAAGGACAGGGCTCACGGAAGGTCTGGCTAACAGGAAGCAGACAGAGTACAGATGTCTGGTACCGTGACAGACATGGAGATAAGAAAAAGAACAAGGCGGTGGCCAGGCGGCGACTCGCGAACCTGCCGATCTGATGTTTCAACCACTGTTTCACACGGATTGACAGGCGGGTTCTCTCCAAACGTGGAGGAGGGAGCACCGTTTGGAGAGGCTCTGCCTCTGGTCCCTACACTCACCCTACGGGCACTTTCACCTCTGCCTGTACGTGGGACTCAAGATGACGCCCCAGCCTTCGCGGTGGCCGCTCACCCATTGTATCTTTTGAGACTTGGCTCTGAAATTACTTTGTTGGAAAATCTTTCTTGGTAACACTCCACCCTAACTGCCTCAAGTTAGGTGCCTTTCTTCTGGGGTTATCTGCCTTGGACAGACTCCCCGCTGAAGTTTCTGCCTCACCTGCTGCTTTGAGACAGTACAGGTCAGGAAACGGTTCCTATTTTCCACCGTCCCAAGGCGCCACACTATGCATGGCACGCCACGACGGGTAAGTAATAAATTTTTGTTGAATGAATGAGTTATTTTATATTTAAAAATTAGATTCAGAATATTGATTCGGTTCTTTCCAATTACTTCACTGCTTTTCAAAATTACTTCTATCGTCTTGTATTTCCATTCAAACTTAATTTTTTTTTTTCGATTCAACAAATATTTATGGATCCACTCTTTGTTTGCGTTAGGTTCTATAAGAAATCCACATAGGCAATAAAGTGAAGGAAATTTCGGTATGCACAACAGCACATTAGAAACACAAAGAGGAAAAACACAACCATTACAGTGGGTTGGATATCGAGTGGGAGCAGGATGTCTGTTACCCCAAAGACGAGGGCGAGAAGACAGACTTCCAAAGTGAAGGGTAACAAACAAGGGCAGGAAAATGCTACAGACGAATGAGTCCTTTTCTGAGGCTAGTTTGAAAAATGGAAATGAACAGAAACACAGGTCAGGTAAAGGCAAAGTCACTTGAAGAAGCGCTAACTTTGGTCTGTGGTTGAGGAGGGACTCAGAAGACTCTGTAAGGTGTAGTGGAATGCTCTTGTACACAGGTTCCTGAATTCTGCTGCCCGTATGGATCATTTTGAGGCGTTCATGAAAAATACACATACCTGAGTCACTCCCCAGACCAGAAACTTCAAAGGTGGAGCCCTAGTGAATTAAGACTCAGAAGGATTCTCATGCACCATGTCCACAGACTAACATCTGAGATCAACAATATACAATATATTCCTTAACATCAATGCTCAAATTCTGCTGGAAGAGTGGTCACTGAGCCTCTTTTGAAATCCCCTGTCCAACGTGGTGGACAAGAAGACGGCAATCACAAAGCAAGAAGACAGGTATGTCTGCAACCATCTCGTTCCTTTTAAATATTTGGATAAGATGAGAACAGCCATGAAAATGGATGGATATGGCATGGAGTTCTGTTAAAGGAGCTCTGGTGTAAGACAAGGACAAGCGCAGTAATGCTGTCCACCCCCCTCTCTCTGTGTCGTGTGTGCCGTACATGTCGAGGTTAACCCACAACTGCCAGGAAGGGAGAGCATGCCCAGAGTGCAGGGACCCTGAGGATGGAGCATTATTTAGCAATCCTTCCACGTGCAAGTTCCTTCCCATAAAATCTGACAGGAGAAGAGAAAGGGGAAAATGAGAATCCCTTAGTTAGAGTGCACTGGATGAAGGTACCCCAGCCCACGGCTCATCCCTGGTGATGTCCACTACACGCCCGGGGCCTTCCCGAGGACTGGCCACCACAGACGCCCCGAGTTATCGCGTTGTACTACAGAAGACCAATTGGGGTTAAAATTTTCACAAGTATGGCAGTAAGAACTGCTCTAAAAACCACCCATGTGATTAGACAAGCTCAGTTATCTGGAGTCAACTGTGGTTAGACTGAAAGTAGGGAAGGAATGGTGAGACATGCTGGGAACAAGAATTACGAGAAACAAGAAGAAGTGTGAGTGGAACTAGCATGAAAATACGTGTGTGTGCATGCACAGAGGGGAAAAATAAACTGTGAAACATCAGAAGACAGGCAACCAAGAGGCAGAGAGTGGACAGCAACAACTAAAACACCAAATCCGGAACGGAAGGCTTCACACAGAGGCCTTGTGCATGTCTCAGAGTGAGGGCCAAGAGCCTACGAGGAGACAACGGGAACTGAAAACCAGGAAGGAAGTTTCACAGAGAAAGCAAAACACCGTAGTATAACAGGTGGGCATCGATTAGGTAATAGGCCCCAAATCAACGGGAGATGGAGGCGGAGGGAAGCCCAGGTACATGAAGAGCTTGAGTACTAACAAGAACAGATAGGAAAGGGCCAGAAGAAAATTCAGGAAGGGACAAAGGTCAAATTCCCAGGCACAAATCAAATCACAACCCAAACAGCACACTGTTCACAAAGTTGCAGTTATGAAAGCTTTTCTTCCGGGAGGGTGCCATCTCATCTCCCTCCATGGGGAGCATTTGGACAAACTTGAGAGTCCCAAGGACAGGCAATGAAAAAAGGGATGTTTAATGTCACTTAAAAAAAATAATAATTACAGTAAATGCCTCCATTAATTTCTAAATTCTTTATCTGAGGAACTTCATGTCAACACAGCAATGCTTTTTTAATGGAAAGATGTTTAGAAGCATAGTACACTTAAAAGTATATTTAAATATTAAAATGGAACTTCTTTCTTCAAACATCTTATGGTGTTTCTATGGTCACTTGTCACTACTCTGCAATTCAAACAGAATTTACAACGGGGGGAAAAAAAATCAATGCACTTTTACATTGGCTGCTTGGCAATATTAGTGCGTGTGTCCTTTTCAATTAGAATGGCCAGAATCTTGTCTCAGAGGAAATGTTAAACCTATAAAGAAGTAATTAAAAAATAATAAAGGAAGAAAGAGCAAGAAGAACAAAAAATGACACATAGCTTACCATTTTTTTGACTTCAGCCGGGGAGGAGGGTTTCTGGGGATGAGAAACAGTGCTCTCATTGGATGCATGTCACAGAGAGCTGGGGAGAGGAGACGGCGGGTCAGTACGGCACTTAGGGCACTCATCCTGGCCTCCCAGGGCCTGCTCGTTACAACACCAAACGCTCTGTCCCCCTGTCTGGTGACACGCTTCACGTCAAGCAGTCGAGAATGCTAGCTATCAACTCTGAGGCATACCTTGAATCTCCCATTTAAAAATAGCAAAATATGAGCAGGGCAAGAGCAACAAAGGGAATAAACAATTTCAAATGGATACTGGAAGGTTTCCCTAAGTCCAAATAAATATTAATTCAAAGTCTAAAAAGAATGAATGTTTCAGTTGTTAAACCATCGATACGCGTGCCATGAAAACGACTGCATTTTCATAGGCCGTCAATGGGACTAGGTCGTGGAAGGCCTTCACGCAATGCGTGGAACACAGCAAGCACACTAAACTCTCTCCCTTCAAGGATGCGAACCGGTGGTCGTTTAGCTAGTTAGGCCGGAGAGAGCAAAAAGGTACGTGGGAAATGGAATAAATGCTGAGCGACTTCTGTGTGTAGTCCTGTCACTTGTCCCAGGAGAGGCACATCGGCCATCCATGTACACAGTGGTACGTCACCCTAGGCAAAGTGCACTCTCACTTGTTTCTTTACCTTCAAGAGAACCTTACAGGGCAGCGTGGAACTGGGGCGGGGTGGAGAGGCAGACAGTACTATTCCCATTGTGAAAGAAAACCAAGACAAAGGATCAAGCAGTACTTTCTTCGTCTGGATTCCTTGGAGGGAAATATGAGGACTATGTGGGGTGTTCACGGCAGATTTCCATTTCTGCATTGCGAACTAACTTAGAGTTGTCAATACATTTTTTTCATTCATTCAACAAATATTTATTCACCATCAACTATGGACCAAGCAGGTATACGTTCTTGATGTGTACCTCTCCTTAGCGAGAGCAGCACAAATGCTGTTCTCTCTGTGTCTAATGCAACCTGATCAAAAATCAACTCTGTGAAGTTCTCATTAGTTTACTCAAAAGCAGAAGCAAATACTCTTACCAAATCTCATAGGCAATACCAAAAACTTTTCAAAAAAATCTATAGGTAAAAAGTGATGCCTCCATTTGTAAAGTCAAAGCTTAATACTAAAATCTCATGTATTAGGACCTTTGTCACTGAACAGTAAGTTCAAGACAGAAAAGGAATCAATGACTACTTATTATCTAATCTCAGCATAATTTCAGGTCACACATGTGAATTCAATTTATATCAAAGAAAACACAGCCTACAGACCACCTTCTATTACAGAAATCTCTAAAAAGAAGAGTGCTGGCAAAGAATTCCTTTTACATCTAAAACATTACTGTCCAAACACCCCACTGGGAATGTTTTTATCCACAGGCTCTTCTTTCTGAAGCCTCGGGAATGGCTTCAGTTACATACACCTTGACTAAAAAGGAAAGAAAGATACTTACGGGGAGCACCTTCTGCCATCTCGATGGCAGTAATGCCACAAGACCAAAGGTCACTCTGCAAAAACGAAGCAGTGGGTTAGGAATACTGTATCGCCACCAAGGCCATCACTGACTCACATTTCTGGCTATTCATACAAATAAAATCAAAGCTTTCTTCCAAATGGGAGTTTGCCAGGAAATCAAAAACAGAAATACATATGTCGGAACACCTTAGAAATAAATGAATTAATTAATTAATAAAAATAAAATTGATTTGCTATTTAAAACGGCTCATATCGGTCCATAAACCAGAGGCTGTTCACATAACGGCCTCTCTCTCACAGTCCAATGAGTGCTCCCCTGTTCAAATGTATCTTCATTTCTTTACAAGCACTCAGTAATTCAACTTCTTGCCCAGATGTGTTCATGTTTATATTTGATGTTAACATCTCAAACTGAATTAAGATTTAAAAGCCAGAAAGCATTCTTGGGACCAGCAGATAGCTTAATGGTTACATCGGGTGATTCCTACATGGCTAACTGAGGTTCCAGTCCCGGACTCAGAGAATTGAAACCCATGCTAGGCATGTGTGCATGCGTGCCCAAAATCTCAAGAGGAGAATGAAGGAGAAGAGACTGCAGCATGGCCATCCTCCCTGGGGTGGCGTGGGGGTGTGTGATTTCTTTCTTTCTGTCTCTCTGGTGAGCACACGCACCCTATAGCAAAAATCTCTCCCCAAAAAACAGCCAGAAAGCATTCTTATAAAACATCCATGACTGAACTAACAAAGCCTTCCACAGTTTGATCATTTAAATCATCCTCTAAACACCACTGCTCTACCTTCAAACCCAGCTAGGAGAACACTAAAACGTTTTGCACATGGAGGTTTTTTTTTTTTTCCTTCCAGTTCCCCTGAAATATCAACTTTAAAACTTGAAATAAGCTGGGAACCAGCAGTTAGCGTAACTAGAGTTAGTAAACATTAAGAACATGTATCCTTGAGACCAGCAGTTAGTGTAATGGCTATGTCGCTGGACTCCCATGTAGTCGACCGCTGTTTGTGTCCCAGACCCGGTGGCTTAAAACTCACGCCGGGCGCATGTGCGTGCGTGCCCAAGATCCCGAGAGGAGAATGGAGGAGAAGGGATTGCGGCGTGACCATCCCCCCTGGGGGGTGATTTCTCTCTTTCTGGCTCTGTGTCTCTGTCTGTCTGGCAAGCGCACGCGCCCTACAGTGAAAATCTCTCAAAAAAAAAAACTTGAAATAAGTTTATTCCCCACTCACATAACAGGTTCTGTGAGAACAGCAATTTCCTGTTGTATTCACTTTTGTATCAGGTGGGCACTCTATAAACATTGGCGCAATGAAAGTCTTATCAGCCAGTACTTCTTAAAAGCCAAAGAGTTTAAAAGCAGATGACGGACAGCTGTTTCCATTGGCACACTTTGGCTTGTATGCCGCCCTAGCTAAGAAATGACGGGAGCACCCGGCGCCCCATCTCCTGGCGGAAATCTTGCTAAAGAGTATGTCTTTATATGAATTGAGTCCTTCCGGCTACAGGAAACAAGCTAAACTGGCATCGCGAAGTAGTAATCAGAAAATTGGACAGCTGAGCATTTTACAACAGGCCCAGCCTCTTCAGCAAGTCATGTACTGCAAAGGGAAGAAGAACATAAAACGCAGGGGAAGGCATACTCTAGGTTAAAAGAGCCTCAACAGTCAAACCACCAAGTACACTATCTTATCTGGTATTAGATATGAGTAATCGAGAATTCTGTTAGAAATTATCTTTATATACTTGGGTATAATATTATGGGTGTGTTGGAAAACTCTTTGAAATTTTAGAGATAGTTAATGATAGTTTAATGACATATCAGAAAGTGGGTAGTCGGGAAGACTGTAATCTATTTTAAATCCTCCAACAAATAAAAGTACATATGTACCATAAGCTTAAATTAAGACTCATTAACTGGATATTTGTAATAAATAATGAAATATATTGGAGACTAGTAAGATATAAGCTCCATTTTTAATACCATTAATAGGTATATTAACCTATGGATCTAGATCGATTCAAGCAAAGATGCTTTTGTTTTTTAAGTAGGTTTTTTTTTTTTTTTTGGAGAGGTTTGTGCCATAGGGCGCGTGCACTCGCCAGATAGAGAGACAGAAAGCGAGAAATCACCCCCCGAAGGGGGGGAATGGCCACACTGCAATTCCTTCTCCTCTAGTCTTCTCTCAGGATCGTGAGCATACATGCACACACGCCTGGCGTGAGTTTAAGCCGCCAGGTCCAGGACTCGAACCACGGTCGACTACATGGGAGTCCAGCGACATAGCCATTACACTAACTGCTGGTCCCAGTAGTTTTTATAAACATAGTCAACTTGAGTCAAATTATCAAATTTTATACGTGGATCGAAAATGTGTACTATTGATTCAAGCATCTAGAGGGCACTCCAAGAATTTAAATACACCATCTCTGTGTACTGCATCCAAGTTGAAAGGTCCTTTGGCAAGAATACTCTAAAATTCCAACAGATGAAGCTACTGCTGTATACTCTGACAACAGGTTTAAAAATTAAGTATTTGACTCTAAGATTCTTCGGGTTAAAAAGAACAGTTTTTATTCATTTAATCGATTCATGATGAAAAGACCTGTGCACAATTAAGTGATCCAGACTGCCCTGGAGTCCGTGCTCCTCAGTGAGATCACTTGCGATGCTGACAAAAAGACAACATCTAGGGTCAGCATGTGGCACAGAGGCTAAGGGGGCTGGATCCCACAGGGCCAACAGTGTGGTTCAAGTCTTGTACCGGTAGCTTGAGAAATACACTGGGTGTGTGTGTGCGCATGCATGCCCAAAATCCAGAGAAGGGACAGTGGTATGGTCATCTTCCATGGGGAGGATTTTGCCTCTCTCTATCTCTCTGTCTCTCTCCAGTGAGCGCATGTGCACTGTAATAAAAGTTAAAAAATAAAAAATTTTTTAAAGATATCATCTAAAAGCTGCCGTGGAAAATTTACATCCATACAGAGCACCCATGTCTTCCTCCCTGAAGAACAGGCAAGCCCGGGGATGGGCACTTGATAAGCAAAGCCCCCGTCCCTCCATAATACCGGTGAGCCGGCGAAGGCCCAGCATGCGCGTGAACCTTACTCTGTAGTCGTAGGTGGCGTCCGGGTTCTCGTCGCAGGCAATGACCTCAGGAGCCATCCAGTAGGGAGTGCCTATGAACGTATTCCTCCGCCCCACGGTCCTGTCCAACTGCGCACTCACACCAAAATCAACTATGAGAGGAAGAGAAGGGAAGGAAGAGTGGAACACAATTAAGAACAAGATACGGTAGAAAACAGCATGAGGAGGAGGGGGTCTTAGTACGCTGGAACGGCAGTGCTCACAAACACACTCCTTAAGGCCAGGCAATGGCAGAAAGGAGGACCCTTTCTACAGCAAAGCCACCAGGACGGCAAGAGCCTCTGCTCCTGCAGGGCCTGACCAGGGCTGCCTCCCTGCGCTTCCTGACAGTGACCAGCAGAGGGCCCTCTGGGTGAATGATGATCTCGGTGCTCTCAGAGAGCAAGCCTGCCACAGCAAGATCAAGTCTGAGAAAGCCCCGGGTCCAGAACTGGCTGAGAGCTACTTAACTTAGCTTCTTACAGGGCACAAACAGCCACATGAAGAGAAGAAAATCACAAAACTTTTCTTGGGAAGAAACAGTACTACATTAGATAAAGCCAATCGAGCTACTAGGTCATCGGGAAAGTCATGACACATATTTGCATAGAAAAACACGTCAAGCCTTTCTTGATGACCTAATAAATTGCAAAGAACACTACGCCCCAAGCTGTTGGGATTTCTACCGACTTTTAGAGTGACTTGTGCATCCTACCCAACTGAATGATGATGGTGGTCTAGAGAAAATCAAAGAACGGGATACAGAGCTGGCAGAAGTCCACGACCTCTCTCAGCACCTGCTGTCGCCCCAGGAGGGCGTGCGGGGAGCCTGCGGGTGCAGAGAAGATGCACAGGGCTGAGGATTGACCCTCTGGGTACAGAACGTGCTCAGGGAACAACCTGGCTCAGGGGCGGGCTCATCCACCGAGACAGAGATGCGCATGCCATGCAGTCAACTGACGCTTCCGCCAGCCCAAAACCAACTCAGCCAGCAGCGACCAGTCACTAAGAGACTGCTGAGGGACATCACAGGCCTGGCATGTGGAGCCAGGGCAGGGAACACACTCAGTTCACTGAGCGGTCACGTGTGAGGACAACGCGAGAGTGCCCCGTCTGTGGCAGCCTCCTCCTCCAAGACTCCCGTTAAATGCAGACACTATGGCAAAAAGGAACAATGGCAGTCTTCTTTTTAAAGTATGAATGTGACACCTGAGATTTTTGAAAGAAAAGTGGACTAGTTCTTTGTAAGGAAGCATAAACATGTTTTCTGATGTCTTAGTGGAAAAAACAATGCTACTTCTGTCTCTATAAAACTGACAAAACCATTAGATGAAAGTGGAATGGGAACAATTTCACTCTCAGCTAAGGGAAAGAAGAAACGTAAAAGACGGCAATAAAGAGCCAGCAGGCGCTGTGGTGTGGTTAAGGTGCTGGACTCCTACACGGCCAACCACAGTTCGAGTCCCACACCCGGCAGCTTGAAACTCATTGTCAGGCACGTGTGCGAGCGTGCCCATAATCCCGAGAAGAGAATGGAGGAGAAGGGATTGCCGTGTGGCCGTCTCCCAGGGGCTGATTTCTCGCTTTCTGTCTCTGTGGCACATGCACACACCCTGCAGCAAAAATCTCTTGAAACAAAACAAAATGAAAGAGATAGTAAAACCATCCCCAGGAAGACTCCACGGCCACTACCACTCACTCCTGCAGAGCTCGATCAAGCACCTCCTGCCCCAAAGGCTCTCTGCAAGGGACTGCCTAAGATGCTGGTGAGAAAAACAGGCCCCGTCGCTGCATGTCCAGAATTAATACTCTGGAAAAGGATGAGGAGAGTGAACAATACTGGGAACACCACTAGGACAGAAAGTAGCAGCAGGGCCTACGTAGATCTGCCGGTCAGAGAAAGCCCCGGATGATGAGAAAACTGCGACTTCAAAAGCGAGGTCACGTGTGCCGAAGGGAGAGCAGTACGACCAAAGGCCCCGAGGCAAGTTCTAAGCAGTCAAAAAAAAAAAAAATGACAGTAACAGGACCAGCAGATGGTGTAACGGATACATTGCGGGACTCCCCCATGGTAGACCACGGTTCAAGTCCCAGACTCAGTGGCTTAAACCTCATGTCGGTGCAAGTGCGTTCATGCCCAAGATCCCAGGAGGAGAATGGAGAAGGATTGTGGCATGGCCACCTCTCCTGGGGGAGGAGGGATTTCTTGCTTTCTGTCTCCCTGTAACTCTCTGTTTCTCTGGCAAACACTTGTGCCCTATAGCAAAAATCTCTCTTTTAAAAAAAAAAGAAAAATGACAGTAACTAAAGAAGAGAAGCATGAAGGAGATGACAGAATAGGTGGGAAATAACAGGAACCCACCATCCTGCATGGCTTCTGGGGGCCAGAGCAAGAAATGAGGACTTTATCCGAAGTGAGACAGAAGCCCTCAAGGGTCTACAAGCAGGAAGGCCCGCAGTCTGATCCCCAGTCCCCGCTGCTGTGGAGAGGGCTGAGCCGGGGGAGACCACAGAGGCGGTGGCTGGAGCTGGGTCCCCACGTTCCTGAGGAGAGCGGCAGGGAAGGCGGAGACGACTGAAGTCTCAGCCGCGCGCGGGGCAGGGTGCCGGAGCTCGAGCTCGCCAACGCGGCCACGTACCGAGTTTCACCTCTGCGTTCTCCGTCAGCAGCACGTTCTGGCCCTTGATGTCGCGGTGTATCACGTGGTGGATGTGAAGGTGTGCCAGGCCCTGCAGAGGAGAGACAGGCCCACGTGTGAGTGTTTTAACTCTGTGAGCAAACAGCCGGGAGCGTGCACGTGCGGGCCGAGCGTCTGGTGACCCTGCGTAGGAACATAAAAGCCCCTCCTTCGTGCCTTGGTGAGGCGGCGCCCACGCGGCCACAGAAAGAACCCTCCTTCCCTTCCCCGTCCGAGGGCTAGGCTCCCTGTGAGCACCACCGCCGCCCGCGAGCCGGGCCTCTGAGACACGCCCGATTACCATCTGCAGTTTCTCTGCTGTAATTTGTGCTATTTCTGTCCGGGGTGGTTCCTTTCCCACGCTAGACGTCTCTCTTCAGTGGGTGAACCGTGGGTATATTTGAACTAGTCACATCCCACAGGGAAAGCAAAGGGCCAGAGAGGGGGTTCAAAATCTGGCTCTTAAAACACTGGCTCGTCTTCTTCCCCTGCACAGGGACAAACTGCTAAATGCTCACTGATCTCTCCTCCACCCCAAGCTTAAAATGATTCAGCCATCAAAAGAGCTTTGTGTTCAAATAAAATATCTTTCTTTCCCAAAGAAACAAGCCCTCTGGGGCATCCAGCACTTTGTGATGACCCCGAATCTGGCAGGAAGCCTCAAGAGCATGTCTCTTACGAGAGGGGGAAGACGGACGAAAACACGTGCTCTGTCCAAACACGGCGTGAAAGCAATGCCTCGTCCCACACACTGTCCACTGCTCTGTCCTCCGCTGGGGCGCCCAGTGGATAGTCTGCCTTCAAGATACGAGCAGCCGGGGCTGGCAAGCGGCGTGGTGGTTAAAGGCACTGGACTCCCACATGGTCGACCACGGTTCAAGTCTCGGACCTGGTGGCTTGCTTTCTCACTTCCTCTCTCTCTTTCTCTGTCTCTCTCTGATCAAACTGAAAAATAATAATGATACTAATAATAAATAAAGTTAAAAATAAAATAATTATTAAAAAAAAAAAAAAGATACGAGCAGCCTGTCTATTCGGAAGTGGCTCAGGCCAGAGGGGCTGAGGAGGGGGTCCAGCTGATGACCCTGTTTAGTTTGTGTGTGGGTGTGTGTAGGAGCGTACTGTTATCACCCTTCCTCTGTAGAACATGAATTAAATACAATAGCTGCGTTAGGACATAGAATTCCTTAACGCAAGGGGTTTCTAAGGATTCATTTACTGTCGGACTGCGAAACGAATTCACTTATTTGATGATTCTGTGTGTATTTCACAACGCAGGGTAGGGACATGCAGGGTTACACAGAAAGCACTGGCTGGGGAAGAAACACAGGGTGGGACCAGAGGGTGGTGCACTGGTTGAGACACTGGATTCCAGAAGGCCGACTGCAGTTCGAGTCCCAGGGCTGGCGGTTTGCTTTCTCCCTTTCTCCCTCTTATCTCTCTGTGTCGCCATAGCGCACATGCCCTATGGCAAATTAAAAATAATATCAGGTCAGCGGCGAAGTCGGGACATGTTTTTCTATGCAAAAATTCATCGTGAGTTTCCCAGTAACCCAGTAATAATGAATAAAATTAAATAAATAAATATTTTTGAAAAAAAGGGTACCTTAGTGGTCTAGTCCCTCCTTTCAACAGGCAGAACTCTGAATTAGCAAAAGGAAAGACAGAAAAATGTGGCTTCCCTAACGCCTTATCTCTGTCGCTTTCATTCATTTCTGTTGGCTAAGTTGCACAAACCTCTTTCTTACCCGTAGCAGGATTCTCTTCCTGACAAACAGAAGCGTCCAGGTGCTCTCAAACAAACACAGCCCACCTGCACTCGTGTTCACTACCAGCAGCCAAGTAAGCATCTCCCGTTTCCCTGTCCCTACTGCTGAAGGATCACTAATTCTGCATTTAAAAAACTGCTGAAGGAGTATCCGACAGCCTGCAGCAATGTGAGTTATGACGACCCTGGGCAATGAATGTTTCCCAGTACGAAGTACCTGGCTGGGAGTGTCTTATGTTCAATTATCCCATGCCTTAAGTAAGGCCACAACGATTCCTCCATAGCACAGGTGCTGAATCCAAATACTTAGTAAATACCCCTTCCAACAGCAAATGAATCAATGTTTTGAATCTAGCAAACTTTTTTTTTAATTCCATCTCATTCCCACACTTAGTAGGAAATAATGGTTTCTAGCCAAATAAGGACCATTGTAGTGTCGAATGTGAACACAGAGGTGGGCTGGAACACAACAGCTTTGCTGATAAACCTTCTGGTCCAGAGGGTTTCAGAGGGCTGGCCCAAGAGAGCACCCGGCTGAGGCCTGAGGCCTGCATGATGAAGGTCTTCCCCGCCCTGAGGACCTGCACAGTGTCTGAACTAACAGCTGCCGAGAGTCAGAAAATGCTCTGCCCCTATGAAATGAGCTACCCCAATCTGCAGGGGCTGCTTCCTTCCTTTCCCCGAGACCTCACCCCCATCTAACTACCTTGCTTCCCTCCACCAAAACCAACCCTCTGTAACTCCTTCCAGAAACACACATTAGCGAGTGATACACTAATTCTCCCTGAGGCACTCGTTTTCAGCTGCTTTCAAGTTTTGTTCAGGAAAACTCCTATTCTAGACCAGATGCAGGCAAGGAAGCTCTTAAATGCCTACGGAGGTACAAAAGACTTGCTGCATCTCAAAAGAGGTCCATTCACCTTCCATACTCAAGCTGCTCAGAGCCCTCAAACAAAGGAGGCTTCCTGAAACCCTGACAGAGCTCAATGCTGGTAAAACAGTTAAACATACATATTACACATTCTATATAAATGATCGTCTGGGTGTACAAAACCATGTGGGCTGTATCTGCAGGCCGAAAATCACTTGGTCCTGAGGATATTTTGCTAAAAGCTAGCTCTCTGCTTGAGGAATCGTACTGGGTTACAGGCATGGAAGGCACGTATGTGCATGTGTTTAGAGAACAACGGCGATGCTGTATTTACAAGGAGCTGGCGATGCACCTCTGTGTTAAATGATTCATACGCACTTAACTCATTTTATTCAACAACAGCAATTTCATAGGGTTGGCATCTAAAATGTACAGATCAGAAGATTAAGTCCGAAAGCTGAATAATAGACTTATCCAGAGACGTAGCAGAGACAGGGCTCACAGTCAGGTCCAACTAACGCGAGGGCCCAGTCTCTTAGCCACTGCTCCATCCTGCCTGCCATGCTGAGAGCTCTAGTCACTAACATAATAAATACGGCTGCCCATGTGCTGATTCTTGTACAGCAGTAAAAGCAAGACACCTAGTTTCCCACTGTTAGGATCTGCTTCCTGCATTAACAATTAAAGGTAAGACCCTGGTGTTTCAATGAAGGCATTGTGTGTGACGGTGAGAATATGGCTCTCCCTCCACCTTACCTCCCAATCCACTGATACCGGCTCTCCCTCCACCTTACCTCCCAATCCACTGATACTAGCTCTCCCTCCACCTTACCTCTCAATCCACTTATACCTCATCTTAAGGTATAAGTTTTCAAGGGCTCTGTAAAATATCTAAATAAACATAAATGTTTTTTCTAGGAATTCTAGGTGAAATTGTTTAATTCTACAGTGCGTAGAGTGACTCTACCTATAAATAAAAAATAAAATAACTAGCTCAAAAGACTTTCTTAGGGGTCAGCAGGTGGCATGGTGGTTAAGGTGCTGGACACTCCCACATGGCCAACCATGGTTCTAGCCCTGGATCTGGTGGCTTGCTTTCTCTTTCTCTCTTGTTAAATTAAAATAAATGAATGAATGAATAAAATTAAATAATTTTTTAAAAAAAAATGCTTTTAATTAGTGGGAAAAGTGTAAAAAACTGGATTTCAGGTTAGTGGGGGGCAAGATGGTTAAGGTGCTGGATTCCCAGGTGGTCAACCATGATTCAGTCACAGAACCAGCAGCTTGAAAATCACACCAGGCATATGTGGGTGTGTGCCCAAAATTTCAAGAGGAGAAGGGAGGAGAGACGACTGCAGCACAGCCATCCTCCACCCCTGGGTGGGGAGAGAAGGTGGTGATTTCTTCTCACTTCTCCTCTTTCTGTCTCTCTCAGGCCAACGCACACACCCTACAATAAAAGGGGGGGAATGCATTTCAGCAGTTCAAGTCCACTGCCTTTATTTTAAAATCTGGAGTGTAAGATGCAACCAAGTAATTTATGGATGAAGTACAGAGGAAAAACTGTGAAGGCTCAACGAAGGAAAAAGATCCACTGGCAACCACACGCATCTTTTCAAATAGAAAAATCTTAAATACTTCCTGCTGCTGAACGGCTTTCCTACTGAAAGGAACCATTTAAAAGCTACTCAGATAGGAGTTCAGAAACTTACTTTGCAATTATTAGCTCAGCTTTTCAATGGGCTGTAAATAACATTCAACACAAGAACTTTGGTTCATAAATATTTCAATAGATTCTAATAGCTACTGCCAAAGTCCACACGATAGTTTTGAAAACTAGCATTAGTATTGATTTATAAGCTCATACATGGGATCCCTATCAAAACAGTAGAGATTATTTCACTTCCCCTTCACTCTGGTTTCCTTTTAAATTCCAAAAGAAAGCTGCCATTAGGTATGTGAGGACGACCTGGAAGATAAATCAGAGAAATAGAGAGAACCTATCTTTGTGAAGTCTACCTTTGTTAGACACTTGCATGTTCCAACCAAAAAGGAGCTTAAAGTACCAATGCTACTGGCTATACGGAACCCTTGGTCGTCAGAACAAGCATAATCTCCACAGGTGTAGCCAACACAAAGAGACGGTGGGTGCCAGGCAGAGGGGCGTGGGACCATGGGACCACAGTGGGCAGCACCATGTGTGCGCTCCTCACCCTCAGGATCTCCCTGGAGATGTAAGCGATCCAGTCTTCTTTGAGGGTGTTCCCCTTGGTGTTCTTCACAAGGTCTGTGATGGACCCGGCCCCGCAGAACTCCATCACAAGCTACAGGGGAGACAAAAAGCTTTGTGACTGTCACAGTCCCGACTTCAGAGCAATCGAGAGAACACTGCAACTGTCCTCTCTCAACCTGAAGACCTGGGCCTGTCATCGCTTGGGAGTCACCCAAATTGCCCAGAGCCCAGCATATTCACCGTGTGTATCTGGTCCAGGAGGCTGGGGTGTGGGACATCCTACAACACACCCCCAGTATGATGGCTCTGATGGGCTCATTTCTCTTAGAAGCACACGGACCTGTAAGATGACCATTGGTCCCTCATCACTGCCCACTTTCCAGATAACTGCCTGATACTCCCTAAATACTCCCTAACATCCTTCTTCTTTTGCATCAAAACTTTTCTAGGGGTTGGTGGAAAAGCCATGACTTATTTTTTCTGTGTTTTTCTATGCAAAAATGCACCATGACTTTTCTAACAACTTACTATTTTTCACATTTTGTGATACACAAACTATCGTATATTAACTAGGTTTAATGGAAAAGAAAAAAGCTATTTTTAAGCAGTTTATATACTTTTTTAAATGCAATATTTGAATAATATGATTACGCCTATATTTTTAACATACCTAGAAAAAACTGAACTACTTTAACTTTGATTGAATTTGGACAAGGGAAGTAAGGGTACTTTTTTCCCCTTCTACTTTCTTAACTTTACTAACCTCTTCTACATTGGACTTTAGAAGAAGCCATTAGAAAAAGTATTAATCTATCTTCTGGCTTCCTAAGTTCAATACCTCAAGCATCAGTAATGTGATAACCACAGATCTGACATATATCAGGGTCACTATCTCGAACAGAAATATCTTTAAGAAGAGATAAGGCTGGGGCCGGCAGGTGGCATGGTGTTTAAAGGCGCTGAATTCCCATATGGCGGAATGCAGTTTAAGCCCCAGACCTGGCAGCTTGCTTTCTAGCTTTCCCTTTCTCTCTTGCTCTGGTCAAATTAAAAAAATAATAATAAATGGGATTAAA